TTAATGAGGACTGATGTATAACTGACCCTAGCCCCTATAAAAGGTTCCCTTCAGAAAAGTGTTTTGGTTATAAAAGTACGAGTTTTCCTTATTTAAAATACGAGTACTGCGATGAAATGTAATTTTTGTACACAATTTTATGAAAATTACTCATACGCTCATTCCTTTCCGGCATACGGCAGACGTCATGGTCAAAAATTAAAAATTTTTAATTCAAATTTTTTCAAATTTGTTAATATAAGAACAAAATTATTACAATTACAATAATTTTAGTTCACTTTCGAAATTTTATATATTTATATAATATAATTTTATATATTTATATAATATATAAAATTACATATTATGAATTTACATAAATAAAGGAATTCAACTTATAAAAATTGTTTAACATACTTCGAAAAAGCGTTAGATTAATTTCTTAACAAAGAAATAGTACAGCTTGAAAAAATGCTGTACATTTTTAGGGTTTTAAATGTTATGCCAAATCTCACCTTAAAATTCTCAATTTATTTTAAAAACAAGTAGGAAAGTATAGTCGGGCATGGCCGACTATATGATACCCTACATCACTGAGTATGTTAAAAATGTGGATTATTTTTAATAATAAAGCATTTAAGTTGTTTACCTTAATTTCGTAATATTTTAACAATTTGTTGAAAAAAGTGATTTTCTAAAAGAGGGATTATATGGGGAGCAAGGATAAATATGGGCCTATCCTTATAAATTTTAATGGCTTTACGTTTACATTAGAGTTATGTATGCTGGATGTTTATTAGTGGATTATTGACCTTCAAGGACCAATGCGTTACAAACATCAGCGAAAACGTATAATACCCTCCCCATTATCGTGGTGTAGGGTATACCACACTTCTATTTGACGTTAGAATACACTCAATCAATATTCATCCAGGAATGCTGGGCATTCTTAAACAGAGTGGAGAGACATTCAACAGTCGTACCCAACAGTGTAACTGAGAAATTAACAAAACAGCAACATCAATGTCCGACATGGACAAGAAAACTTTTGATTAAAGTAGACAAAATTATATGGTCAATGCTTGATGAAAAATGCACGGCATATACTACATATCTTGAAATAAAGTCGATCCCAACTCAGCAACATGATTGCTATTACCACCGGTCACTGTAAAGTTGGTAACCATGTTAAAAAACCTATAATGACTTCTGTAGGAGATAAAGAGAAATTAATTGACCACCTTCTCTGTCACTGATCTGCTCTAGAAAACATTCGTTTTAAATTCCCAGGACAGGAATTCTTTAACGATCTGTCAGAGATTTTACACTCAAGACAATAATTGTTGCCGTCGTTACACAGAGGTTCCAATCAAAATCTTAGTCTAAAACAGAACAAAAAAGTCCAATGAATATAAAATTTACATTAAGTAATAGCTTATTCCCATGTTTTTATAAGTTCTGAAGTATGGATGCCTATGTGGTAAAATAATTGGGATACATTTAATTTAGTTAAAGACTAATATATTAAGGCCCGTATTCAGAAAGAAGAATGTAAAACAATATTTAAAATTTTGTATGAAAAACACTAACAACAAATGAGTAGTTTTATACAAAATTTAAAAGAAGGTTTTTGCACCAAAGTGACCCGAGGAAAAGCTTTTCGTTATTAAAACACTACTGGTTACCAATTAATGATGGGGCCTACTAATTTTGATTATAATCCTAATGTACATACATTAGACCGACTCACAGAGAATGGTGCTAGATTAACTCCTCTCAAAATATACCTTATAATATCACATAATGTTACCAAAATATTTTGGTTTTAGTGTTCGTAAGCTAGGTCCCGCTCATGGAACTCGACTTTACATGCTTAATTAAAAATTGTACGCAACTTCAAAAAACCTTTGTTTTATTTTATGATAATTGTCCAAAATAGTTTGAGTCTGTCAATGGTCGAGTTTTTCTAAAAAAAATTGAAGGGTTTGCTGCAGTAACATGATAAGCCACTCGATGTCGAAAACTGATTTTATGTGCTAATAGCATTACCATTTATCTAACTATTTTATATATTTAAAGTGAAAAATATAAGTCCTACTTGTACAAATTTCATATAATTTTAGAATTTTTTAAAACTTTAAATTCGTTTTTCTCAATATTTTAATATTGTGGCATATCGAGTTACTTGAATAGTACATAAATGTCTGACTGTCAAAGATCTTTCTCAAAATATGAGAATTGCATATCATTCTTTTGAGTAAAATATTGGAAAAATCCTAAAAGGCATATTTTTATTTTCACCAAATATTGCTCCGTTGACAAACATTTTGAGAAAAGGTATCTTAGAATGAACTAAACTTTAATTTTTGGTGGAACTGAGTACCATTCATTACAATTAATGATTTAAATACAGTTTAGTTTATATATATTTTTTAATTAAATATATTTATGTACGTTAAAGAAAATTAATTATGATTTTATTAAATTTCAGATTAATAAAAAACAATGAATATAAAAAAATATGAACATATACATACACTTTTTCATTGTTCAATTACTTTACATCCATTGTATACGAAACGATTACGGAATCTTTTATAGAAATACATATGGACATATACATGTGTTTTTAAAAGTATTTATATTATATTATGCAGTTTAGAAACTAACCTACCTCAGTTTATGAGTAAATTTGCTAAAGGAACACGACAACAACTCAGTAAAAAAAAGAGCCAACCCTCAATTGGATCCAACCTCCCTTTTGAATTGGTGGGTGATTTTATTTTATGAATGCAATCGTATATGGGCAGAACATTAAAGAATGATTAATTCATTTAAGTTCTTTAGTTTATTACTCATTTGCCCTCAAGTTGTATTAGGGGGATTTTTTTAAGTTTTCGATATTGCAATGACACTAAACAATAATTTTTAATAAAAATAGCTGAAAATTTTTATTACGACATTTTTAGTAAATACGTATGTATGTATTCACATTATAGTGACATTCGGAATACGGCCTTTGAAGGAGGTTTGGATCATGAAAAAGTTCTTGAAAAATTGTTTAAAATCTTTTGAAAAATTCGTTGAGGGATAGGGTTAATTATGAGCCGATCCCCGTAAAATATTGAAGAGGAGTTTTGAATCCTATAATATTTGATTATGTCAAATTTCATCTCTATACATGATTGTGGAAGCAAGTTATGAGCGCTTAAGCGATTTTCAGAACCGGACCTTATGTGAGGTTTTAGATCCATTGTGGTCCGTTTCATATGAAATTTTCTAGAGAGATTTAAATTCCTATAAAAATAGTTATGATTAATTCTGTATTCTATATTGGTAATTCTTTATGTTCCTACAAAACTTGCTTCCATCGAATTTCATTGCTATACTGGTACGTTTAGGCCAGTTGTGAAGGTTAGTAATTTTCTGAAGGGCGGCCTCTTATGGGGGGTAGGGTCAGTTGTATGCCAATATCTTTCAAACTTTACAAAATAGTTTCTGGGTACATAAAACTAACTTGTGCAAAATTTTATCACATTTACTGCCAAATTAACATTAATAATTTAAACCATATTCGGAGGTTCCCTTATATGGGGCTATGTGAAAGCGTGAACTGATATTGCCCATTTTCAATACCAAACATTTCTGATCAATGTAGAATATTTTGGAAATTTCATCTTTTTAAGTCTATTCCTCTGGTCTCTATATGTATACTTTATAAGGTCTACGGAATGACGAAATCAATATACCCCCTATAATTTTTGATGGCGTCAAATAAATATCACCCTAATAAAATAAATTGTGAAAATATTTAAGGGATTGTAAGAAGTTTGAATTGAATCTGTGCAAAATAGTGTAATTAAGTTATTAGTTTTGTAAGTATAAAACTTTTCTTTAGGAAAAATGGGCGCTTTGCCAACCTTTACTAAAGGCTGTGGCCATTGTAAGGGTAATAAAAACAATGAGTTTATTATACTAGCAGCACATCACATAATTTAAGATTTAAGGCAGACAATTTGTCTCAGAGGCTAATTGATGTTTAGTGAATCATAAAAATAATGCTTTAGTTCAAGGCAAAGAAATTTGTGAATTATTAGTTGAAGTAATAAAAAATTCAACTGAAATGATTTTATTCTTTACAATGCATGAGTGTGAAAGTAAAATGATTGAAAAGTAAACAAGTTGTTTAAAACCGTTAAAGGGATCAGGGATATAAAAAGTTTAACATTAAGTATGTATTTATTTATAGAGACTGCAGCATACTCATACCCACTGAAATCCTTTAAACCTTGTCGGACCGAAGGTGGGGGAGGTTGAAGAAAAATAAGATGATGGTGTTGATGATTATTATTCCTTTTGACGATGGTACGCAAGTTAAGAGCATAAATGTGTAACAGTAGCAGCAGCAGCGGCAGAAGTAACATTAACAGCATTAACAGCACTGGCAAAAAGCTTCATAACTAGGAAAACTGCTATTAGTTATTTGACATTGCTCCTGCTAAAAGGTTGTTTCCCGGGGAAAAAATCAAAAGAAATTGCAAAAACACTAGACGAGTGTTAGTGTTAGTTAAATTGTGAAGAAAAAAGCAACAAAAAAGTTGGTGAAAATATTTCCACTTGGAAAATTTCTGTGTTTTTTTTTTTTGTTTTTTAGTATACCAACAATTTAAAACCAGCAACTTAATACTTATACACATTCTGTTCCATACAAAAAATGAAAAAATCAAATTAAATAAAAATTTTAATATTGTGCAAATCCATAAGTTTTTTAATACGTTCTTTTCTTAAGAAAATAATGCATATATACAGAAATATAAAAATGTTGAAGTTATTTTAAATATAAAAAAAATATTTTATTAAATTAAAGAAATAAATTTAAAATAAATGGTGAATTTAATATTTTGGTGTAAGAAATATTTGTGAAAAAAGTGATTTAAAAGTTAAATTGCCTTGAAATATATAAATTTGAAATAAAAATAGAATTATTTTTTTTAAATAACTTAAAAAAGTAGAAAAACAAAATGGCCCAATTTGTTACTCATATACAACCGACTTTATTAGAGGCATCCCAGGGTCATGTTCCGCATCATCATGCCCATCAAGTGGGACTTCAGCATACATCACATTTGCCACACAGTGGCCATAATATGCCATCGCCACCAACAACTCACAATCACCAGCATCATCAGCAGCATCATCACCAACAGCAGCAGTCATCACATCATGCTCACCATCAGAGTCCACCGTCACAGCTATCATCTCCGCCAGCCACTGGAGGATTTTATTCACATTATCAACAGCAGCAACAGCAGATGCTGCAGCATCAACAACAACATCATCATCACCATGGCCAAGGAAAACACACGTCGACTGGCGGCAAACATGAACACTGTCCAAGTGGTCATCAAAGCTCGGTAATAATCACTTAATCGTACACATTATAGGCTATGAGTAATGGATTCCAAATGAACCTGTATCAGCATATTTTCAATCTTGATGATGTAATTTATGGATTAAAATCCAACATCTTTTGTTCTGGCAATCTGGCCCCTTGTTTTCATTCCATTCCCCTTTTCATTTGGGCGTCTATAACGTTTTGTTTGTATGTATCTACATTTCGCTGAGGTGGGATCTTGGGGTGTTTGTGCCTCACAAATAAACATCCATCCATCCAGTTAAAATAACTGTTTTCTCGTGAAAATGACGTAATCCTCGAACAACATACAAAACTTTTTTGCGTTTGTATGGTTGCGTGAGAGTGTGTGTGTGTGTATGTGAGAGTTAGTGGCCGTTTAATTTTAAAGGATACAATTTGAAATTTTCATATTTTTTACTGTTAAACTAACAGAGTGCGTGTTGAGGTTTTTTTTAACTTCAGAGTGGTTGTTGATGAAAAGTAAATGAGAGTGAAATAAAAAGGACTACTCTGTTAACAATTTATGTAAATATGTGTCCTGTTATTCATACACATACTATCTACATATTTTTGCTCCCAATGTTAATGTTATTTTATGTTGTTATTGTTTGTGTTCTAATTTAAGTCGATAAATTTGATTTTGAAAGAAATATACACCGTCCAAACGTACAATATGACTTCGTTTGTGTATGTGTATGTTTTTTAAGAAATTCTTTTTAAGTTTTCAGTAGACGGTCTTACCTATATATTTAATGATATTAAAAAGTTTATTGAACTGACATTAACTTCGAATTTTAATTTCATTATAAAATAAAATATGTCTGCTCAATAACTAAAAGTTGTTACTAATTTTAACAAAAAATATTTGAAATTTGTATTGAAATACAAAAACAATTTGTGATAATTTGTAACAATTTTTTGTTAATGAACAGTCATATTATTATGTATATTCAGTTTTAAATTTATATTGTTATTTTTAGGAGAATCCATATAAAAACATTTGTTAAATTTTAAATTTGTGAATTCACATGTAAATGACAATAATTAAATGTGTGTGCATATGTTTATTTAACATTTCCATACATACAACGTATTACAAAAAAAAAACGTGTAATTTACCAATTTTGTTGAAGAAAATTGTGCTCTCTAGCCGATTATTTCGGAACATTTAAGTATTTTATTGTCTTGAACATAACGCATATTGATCACATGATCCGAACCGCCATATTTAATAATTGTTCTTTTGCAAATGAATGTAGATTTGTATCGTTTGAGTTCTATGTGTGATATGACCAGCCAGTTCCTGGGCAAGAATGAGAAAATGTATTAATTTTCACAAAGGATTTATTATTTTTTTATTATTTTTTTTAATTTAACAATACCCAGCAAAAGAGAACATCCAAAAAAGCGAAAAAGAAGTAGAATTTACTCCATGGATGTACTGAAAAAGAGCTGCAGAAGTGATGATTTTAACACAGGCTTGTCATAGGAGGAATGTCTTTTTTATTTGATTCCAAATTCACTACTTCTGAAGTCATTCTCAAGAAGGAATTTTTATGTTCTTTTTTGGAAGTTATTTGGATGCGGAATTGTATTATAGAATACAACTAATTTTGACTTAAATAAAATAAAATTAACATTAATAAGGAAAATAGACACATTTAATACAAAATTTAAAAAAAAATTTTAACTCATAAAAATGTACGAACAACAAAAATATATCTTCAGCATTGAAAAAATGGATTATTTTAGCTTCTTCGGAAGTCATTAAACATAACTTCCACAGAAGGTAAAAAAATCACTTAGTGCTACTTTAGAAGTGGTGATAAATGTCCTTCTTTTGGAAGTACTTTGTTTAATTTTTGCTGGATATAGAAATAACATAATTTAAACTACATAGACTTCATTGAATAAGAATGTATAAGAGACAACTTTTTCGTTCATCAAATTTAAAAAACCTTAGAACTTAGAAATATAAATTTTAATATGTAGGATCCTGACTGAATAAGAACATATATTAGTACTTTGTATTTTTTCATTCGTCAAATGGTACTTTCGAAGTGCGAATTTATTCATGTGGTACTCTTTTGGTTGTTTATAATAATGAACATGGAACTAAACATACGCAGTCCTTATTGAATGAGAATTTATAAGAAGGCATTTTTTCATATTGTTTCCTTTTCAAATTGGATCTTTAGATGTTTCATAGAACAATTCTCTAAAAGGCTCAAATAGTAATTTTTCTACCCGGCTATTATTATACCCTACACCACTATAGTGGGGAGGGTATTATGGGTTTGTGCTGATGTTTGTAAAGTATACTAATCGGCTAAGAATAACTATCTGAGTCGATTTAGCTATGCCCGTCTGTCTGTGTGTCCATGTAAACCAAATTTTCAAGATAATTTGATTTGGCACATCCTCCTCCTTTGACCCAAAGAAGCCTATTGAAAATGGTTAAAATCGGTCCATTATTTCGCCTAGCGCCCATACAACCGTACCCTCGAATAGGGCTATTGAGCTCATAATTATGTTAAATGTTCTAGTATCAATTCCAAAATCAGCAAAACTTAGTTTAAAATAAGTCGTAATAAGACTAATGATTTCACCCATATCTGTGCTCTTCAGTAAATGACTTGATGGTCAAAATTCACTTATAAACACTAATAACATGATATTCTGCATAAATAACTAATGCAGACATAAATTCCTCTACCAAAATTTATAAGGATAGGACCATATTAACCCCCTGTACCCATTTAAGCCCTCTTTTTGAAAATCGCTCTTTTGTCAACAAATTGTTAAAATAAAATAGTTTTTCTGAATTAAGGTAAAAAATTAAATATTATTAAAAAAATAATCAACATTTTAACATAATCACTGGTGTAGGGTATCATATAGTCGGCCATGCTCGACTATAAATTCTTACTTCTTTTTTAAATTTACGTAAATCTTCGAAAAACAGAAACATTAAAAGCGATTTTCTTACTACTATTTAGGCGAACTTTAACCGATGATTGTGTTTTTCTTCTGATAAAGATAATCTACATTCTTTGTTTAATTCAAGTTTAATCTATACTTTGTGTTTTTTAATAATCAGTTACGTTACTAATTATCTTAGTTTAACTCAGTGTTATTGTCAAATTAAACCTAAGTTATAAATGAGAAAACACAATCAACAAAAACAATAAAATCATCAATTCGGAAGAAGAAAAACTTAATTTTTTTGATTTGTTTTATCAATATTATTATTGTTTTAAATGTTTATTATAATTTTTTCTAAAAGTTTTCATTTTACAAAAGTAATATTTCAAAAAAAAAAAAAAACAGCTGTTCATTGTTCACTAAAAGGTACTGACAAAGTTAAATGCTCTTAAATCCATAACTGAAAATCACAATTGTCGGTTAAAGTCCGCCTAATATTGTTCCGAGTTTTAAATTTTTTTTAAATTTTCTATAAAAGAACATAATTAAATTTTGCATTTAATTTTGATTGGGGCAGCTAAGCACCCAGGGTACGCTAGTTATTTATAAGAAAAGTATGAATTTTAAGGACATTTTTTAATTATTTGCTTTTATATTAAAAATATTTATGTTAAAAGTCATAATCTCTATTCAAAATGAAAATAAGTATTTACAAAATTTGATAATTTACTTGAAATCGAATTCAAAAAAGAGAACTAAATTTTATTTAACATAATTTTGAGAAATTTAATTTTGAATGAGAAATATAACAAATATTTAGAATAAAGGAAAAGAGAATTTTGAAATATTTTTAAAAGAACAGTATAAAATATATTATAGATCGGGAATTAATGATAAGTTCTTCAATTTAGGAAGGAAATTTATTAAATAGTATATTTTATGCACATCTTTAAATTAAAATATTTATAGTATATTAACATATAAATCTATGTATAGTTTTTGCAAAACTTCAATAATATATACTTCTCTGTTCAACAAACAGACACATATTTCAAAACTATTCGAGTTTGTATTTAATAAAACTTTTGCACCAGACCATTCCGAGAAAATTTAAAAATAACTAAAATTCAAGAGAATTTTCTTCTAATATTGGTCATCTCTTCTAACGCAGAGAAAACTCTTTGAAAAATAACCTTAAGAGCAAATTCTATAATTGTTTGGCTAATTTACTAGTTCATTCCCCGAAAAAGTGTTTGCTAGAATTTAAATTTTAATATTACGAATCCACTGAAATCGACTGGTGTATATTTTGTCGAGAACGAAACTAAAATAACGAAATTTTATTATTAATGTGAAAAAGAAAAGAAATTTATAAAAATAAAATTATTAAAAAAATATAATAAAAATTTCTTTAATATTAAAATACGAATTTTTAACGTTTTAAGGAATTGAAAATATAAATGTTGAATCCATTAAAAAAACGCTTTCCATCGCTGCAGAGTTTGGGTGTAAGTGAAAGAAAGTAAATAAATAAATAAATAAAAACAATAATTTACAAAAAAAAAAAAAACTTAAAGAATTTTTGACGAAAACTTATGAAATATTAAAACAAGAAAAGTATTTTTAAAAACAAAAATGTGTCTGGCTACAGAAATAAACACAAATTTTTATGTAATAAATAAAAAATGTTTAGATATTGTCTGGTCTGCACTTAGAGAAAAATCTGTATACGATTGTAAGAATGTGTTGGAAATGTTTCTATAAATATGTATGTATTTATACATAATAAAATATACATTTTTATGTATTTTTGTAAATATGATGGTTTAAAAATTTAAATTGAGATATTAGAGTTTATTAAATAAAATTTAAATAAAAAATTCAGGTTCACATTTGAACATTTATTGTTATACCGAAAAATATATATATAAACGTGAATACGTTTTTACCTATGTGCATATATATACATATATTACTTTTAGCAGACAGACAGAGAATCATCAATACACATGACCAAACAGTCATACATGTTTGTACAATCTTGTACATTAGGCCAGCCCTCCAAAAATGTTTCAAACATAAATTAGT